GATCCCACTGTCTATGTCATTGATGATGATACTAAGGAGTACTGGTCCCAGCACGGACCCCTGAGGGACACTGCTCGTCACAGATCTCCATCTGGACCTTGAACTATTGAACACTACCCTCTGGGTGCAACCATCCAACAAATTCCTCACCCACCCAACAGTCCACCCCTCAAATCCTTCCTCACAGAGTTGAGGCTGACAGGTTGCTAGTTCCCTGGGTCCTAACCATGTTTATCTTTTCGTGAGGGTTCGGTTGTGTCCCCTTCCTTGTGGGGGTGTCCCAGGGAAAAGATTACTCAGTCACTTACCAATAGCTTCCTTTCTACATTTTTCTCTCCTTTTGACTCTGCCAGGTTTGGTTTAGTTTACTCAGAAGAGTTCATCTAGTTCTTCTAAAACTGGGCCAATCATCAAAACACAGCTAAGTGGGGAAAAATACTGGTTTCTTGGGATTGTCTTTATCAGTAGGTAGGCAAGTACTGTTTTCAGTATGCCAGGCTTTCAAAAGCCTGGGTGGTGTCAGTGGCTGTTAGATAAGATTTGGACTGTGTTTTGGTCCATGAGTACCTCAGGGAAGGAAGCTCATTGTGAGAATCCCCAGGACATGATGGTTGGACTTTGATGATCTTGAAGGTCTTTTCCAACCTTAATGATTCTATGACATCAGACACTTGGGCCCTGCCAAAGAGATGGTGAAGCTCATGCTTTGGGACCCTTTTATACATACATGTTATGCATGTCCTGCTTGGAAAGGCAACTTTTCATGTTGCTGGTGAGGCCTCCAGAAGCTTGTGCCTTCCTTCCTCATTGGATGGTTTTGTAGATGTGGTGCCCTCCGTTTGCTGCTGGAAAGGCGCCATCATGCTGCTGTAAGGAAACAGGAGGTGGCATTTCACAGAATCGTTGTTCCCCCTAGGAGACCTCCATGTGCCCTCCTGCGAGGTTGCTGCCAAGCAGCTATGCATCTTCCTGATTTCTTTCAAATGCACTTTCGGGCCCTCTGAGTTGCCAACAGCTAAGCTGGCTATCTGCCAAAACAATGCTGGAGAAGGTGGAGATGTTATTAAGGAGGAACATTAATTGGCAGGATGCAGACTGGTGATTGGATGGGGAATCCTGACATGTTTTTAGGGAGGGAGGGTGTTGCCACATCTCGGAGAGGCTTTACTTGATGCTCTATGAGCAAGTGATTGAGGAGATTCTGATCTGCACGCACTTCCATGTCATTCATTTGGGTTATAGGTGCTAGCTGCCATCACCAGGTCTTAAATCCCAAGACTTTGGGGAGCTGGGGACAAGAGGAGAGGTATGTCCTGGAAAGTAAAGCCCTCGGTGACCTGGTTTCACATGCTGTGGAACAGCTCTGCCATCGTGTCCCGGAAAGCTAACACCTCAGTTTCACTGAGTTGTGTAGGTGCTTTGTCTTGGTGAGCTGCCGGTCCTTGTTGCTGTGCCTCTTGTGCCAAAAAAAACCCCACTGAAAGTACAAACTGAGCTGTCCTGACTTGGGTCTTTCTGATCTCTGCAGCTCCTGATCACCAGCATGTTCCCAACGGAGTGTGGGTCATTGTGGGTCTCCTCAACTTCATTGCGTATACATTAGGTAAGACTTTAGTTGATTGTGGGGGTTTGTGTCTGTCGTCCATTCATGCTGCAGTGGCATGTCATCTTATCTCGGAGCATGTTGAGAAATCTTTGATTCTGGGCTTCTGCCATGCACTAACCCAACTGCTGCTCCCAGAGCAGTTTCTGGGAGCTGCTTTGCAGAGTGGATAGAAGGACGTTGTCCCAGAGCAGCTGATGCGAAAGGAGGATGCTGGAACTGACTTTGAGATGAATTGTGAAATTCTGTCTTCAGTCTGCTTTAAATAAATGTAATCTCATCAGACTTTATTGTATTTTTCAGCCTCAAGTAGAGCGGGGGGTTGGAAAGTGCACTCCCCATTAGAGGATGGAGGTAGTGAAAGCTGCTGTTCGCTGGCTGTGTGCACTTTGTCAGCTGCAAACCGGCCCATTGCTTTGTGTGGGGGTGTCCAGCAAAACTCCCCGTTTCTCCTTGTTCTCTTCCCAGATGGTGTTGATGGGAAACAGGCTCGCCGGACCAACTCCAGCACACCCCTGGGAGAGCTCTTTGATCACGGCCTCGACAGCTGGGCATGCGTGTACTTTGTCGTGACAGTCTACTCCACCTTTGGACGGGGGTCCACAGGTGTCAGTGTCTTCGTTCTCTACCTCCTCTTATGGGTGGTCTTGTTTTCATTCATCCTCTCCCACTGGGAGAAGTATAACACAGGGATCCTCTTCCTGCCCTGGGGATATGACATCAGCCAGGTGGTAAGTGCACGCCGCTGCTGCTGCTTGGCTTCAGCAAAAGCTCAATAAACCGCTAGTGTGCTGGGGGTGCAGCGGTGCCCGCTGAGGTGTGCGAGGGATGCACGCAGCTCTGCTACGTGTCCAGAGCCTCGTCGATCGGTCACTGCGACGCGCTTGGAGACGGCTGTCTCCAGCCTGGCGTTGTGGAGGAGGAGAGCTTTCCAGGACTGCATGCATGACATGGAGCTGTAATTGCTTTAGTGAGCTGGGGCCATGTGGCACTAGAGTTCGACTGCTAAAAACTGTTAAAACCGAGGAGGTTTGTGCAGTGTGGTTTTTATTTTGTTCCGAGTAGCTTTTGTAGATGGACTCTCCACAAAACATGAGGCTTGCAGAGTAGGCATTGCCTTGTGTTTCTTCTACCTGGTTTCTGCTGTCCTAAGATGCATGTTTTGGCCACCTAAACTGTGGCTCTGGTTACGTTCCTGTGTTATACCAGCATGGGTAAATTCAAGTCTCAATGTCAGGGGTGCCTTCTGGCACTAGCGGGATGTGTGCCAAAACGTAGCAACTAATTGGCACGTTAATCACCGTGCCTGGCGAGATGTCCCGCTGTACCATGGTGACTGGGCAGTTGATGTTGAGGCTGATGGGTGATGGACCCTTTGGTATGTTGGCATGTCTCTCATTAAGGACTTCTCTGCAGGAGGCTCTTTCTGAAGAGCCCATCAGAACTGGGAGCAAGCTCTGGATGGTAGAACTCACCTTTACTGCTGGCAGCGGTCCTCCCTAGCCAGGGTTTAGTCTCACAGCACTGCGCAGCGCACAGTGCGCCTTTATCTTCTGGCTTATCAGATGCTGGGTGGGAAATGCAACAAGTTGGAAGGAGAGTTCAATTAATGCAGCTGCGTTAATTGCAATAATCATCTCTCCTAATAAAAGGAGACTGTAGCTGGTCCCCTCTGACAATACTCTGACCCCTTTCTCCAAAAGCATTGCTTAACCCTAATGCTTTCAGACCTCTGCCTATTGCAAAAAGGCAGGGGGTGGAGGGCTGAGCTACCGTGCAGCGCGCTTCACCCAGCTTCAGGCTTACTATTAAAACTGACATATCCCCTGTTAGCTTTTTCCCTGTAATTGCTTCAGCAGATGGATAAGGAAGAGTCCCCAAACAAACCCTCCAGGATCACTGCACCTTGTCATATAAAACCTATCTCTTGTGCTCCAAGCACCTTGTGAGTTCAAGCTGTGCAAGGGCATCTTTGCTTCTGCTGTGAGGAGCAGCTCCTGGTTGTAGTCTTAGCAGCTCAGCTACTTACGCTTATTAGACCTGGTCTCATAACATGGGATGTTTGTGGATTTTTTTTAAAATTTTTTTCCTTCCCGCTGGTGGGGAGAAGATGATGTAGCTTAAAGCGTGCTTCTCGAGCTGCCTTTCCCTGAAGCTGTGCTGACAGCTCGGGTGCTGCCAGACTGCCTGTCTCAGGTTGCTCACGCCTGCGTGTCCTGTGCTTTCTTTCAGACCATTTCAGTTGTCTACATAGTGACAGCCATTGTGGGAGTTGAGGCTTGGTATGCACCTTTCCTGTTTAATTTCTTATATAGAGACCTATTCACTGCAATGATTATTGGTAAGAAACTCCATGTTGAAGCCTGTCTTTTAAACTCCACCTTTTTACTGAAACCGAATGTCTTAATTACATGATAACGCTGTTCTGTTTGCTGTAATGAAAACTCCTGTAGGCTGTTATTGAAGTGACTAATTGAAGGTGTTCTCGCAGCCTGCCCTTTCCCAGAATTTCAAAGCATTGCTGTCTTTGGCGTAGTAACTTTGGAGGAGTTAACTCCAGTGCGCCTGGGTCTATGCTGACCAAAAAAGCAAGGAAGCGGAGCTCTGTGCTCGTGCCTCAGATATATTTTTGTGCCCATCCTGAGGGTATAGGCACAGGTCGCTGCCCGGGGGATCAGCCCTGGTGCTGCCTGCCTGGGGCTAAGGGTTTGTGCGGGCAGACTCAAAACGATCTCTGGCCTGGAGCGGCATAGTTCAAGGGTTGTGGCTGCTGCTCGGGGCCAGGGTGCTGGGGGACAGCTGGAGCCCAGCATCGGCCCCTGGGTGCTAAACAGGTGACTCCCTCGTGCCTGGGACCTGCGAGCCTGTGAAGACACGTCTCCTCCAAGTAGCTGCGTTGCCCAAGTTCTGGGGCTGCAGGCTTCGTGCTGCCCAGGGGAAGCACGGTTTGTTTTCGGGGAGAGCCGTGGGGTTTTTAGGGGATAAAACGCAGCCCAGCGTGCGGGTGGGTGCTGGGAGCCGGCGGCCAGCAGGACCCCCGCGCTCACGCTGTTTGCAGAGCACGCTTGCTTTGCTGCCTGAGGCTCCGTCTCGCCCGTCGCACAGCCGGCGCTGGACCCAGAGCCCCAATGCTGCGTGGGAGCCTGGGGCTGCTGCCGGGGGGAGGTTACAGCACCGGAG